CTTCTAAAATAAGTCTTTTTAAGTGATGGCCGTCACAAGAAATCGATTCTTCAAAAACAAACAGCCAAAAGTACACCTTACTTTTTCGAATTAATTTACGGATTAAAAATAATCCAAACTCACGTAATGAGTGCCCATTCGGCGAAAAAACTGTACCTCTTATGTAAATAGCCAAGGTATCTTATTCATCACTAACAGGGGATCTTTTATTCAAAAATTATGTATTTGGGCAAGAAATTAGCTATATTAATAAGATTCGAGGCAGCAATTCTCGTAGATAAGATGTAGAAAGTGAACCAAGTTCCATTAAGACGAGGAAGAAGATAGAGGCCTAGCCTAAAGGACCAAAGAGGAAGAAAAATGCAATTTTAAAAATCTATCTCGTTAATCTAGTGGTACGAATAGCTTAGTATCTACTTAAAGGCAATATCGTCATTTTAAAAGTAACTCGTGGTCAATATTAAAATACGCCGCATGTACTGCGAAAGCCCTGTGAATTCTCGTACAAAGTCCAACCAAAAATCTCTTTCGATAGTAGACAACCTGCGACATTTTTCAAGAGCTGAATTGTGTTTTATTCGTTAGATCTCTTTCCCTAATATCCAACAGTATTCAGGCAACAATGGCAGTTATACACGTGACCTCTAGAAAAGATTAGTGTCCCAACTTGCTGACAGATTAGTTATACAAAAAACGTTTGTTCAAAGATGCCAGAAAGTTATGTCAGATACCAAATAATAGTAGCACATGTTAAACTTTTGGTTCAAAAACGGATTAGTCCAGACAACTATATGAAATGCTTCTACAATCAAATAGGCGCTTCGGATTAAACCTGTCCTGAACAAACTTGCACATAAATGGTCTCAATTAAAATGATGCAGATGATAAGAAATTTAATCCAATCCAAGCCGCCGGAAAATTGGTTCTAATCTAGGTTTTGCCACCGTTGCAATTTTTAAGAATAATCTAAAAGTGGCTGTTGTAACACTTTTTAATAAGGCTTTTACATAATGCTGAACTGATCTAGCATAAAATCATGCCATTATAGGGAGGTTTGGAGGAGCGAAAGCGGGAAAACACCCTTAATTTGGTTAAGCTAAGTTGTTAAATTAATATGGGAGCAAAAGAATAATCAATTTTACCACTTCCAATATAAACTATTACAAAATTTAGTCAGACCCTCAAATAAAATCCAATTTTTAATCATATAACTCAGATATAAAGCTTTTAAAACCTTCCTTTAAATCTAACTATTAAATTTATTGAAGATATGAAGACCAAGATGTTGTAGACTCTGGTATGGTCGCGGTCTCCTTTCGATTTATAGAACTGGGTTGACCTCGTTGTCGCAACTTGGTATTGTTGTCAGGGGGACTTAGTCATCGGAATCATGACAACTACCATGGCAGACGACTTCTGACTAGGTGCATTTTACTAAGTCGCCCTGACAACAAGACCAAGTCGTGACAACGAGGTCAACCCACTTCTATTACATTTATTGTCTAACAAGGGTAAATTTATACCATTTTAAAAGGTGATAAACGGGAACAAATCGAATTCAAATGTTACATTCTAAGCGAATCAAAAGAATACATAAATATAGAACGTAGGTGTAAAGAATAAATTGCAAAGCTCGTTCCGCTCATGACAAAATTTTACATGAAGAAGTCCAATTAAGAGTTTAAAATATATGTAGTTAAATTAGCAATACTACATTTAAGCGAGCAAATGACAGGCATGTAGTGTAAAAATAAAGATGAAGATCTTTAAACAAATAACAGTACAAAAATTCTTCGTAACTAAAATTGATTTAATGAGCATATTGATGTATAGAGATAACAAGAGGGCGTGCCTAATTTAGCACTCTCAAAATGAGACTGTCGATTATTGTCAGCCTAGTGCTTAGTAACCTAAGATATCTATAATCGAAATTCTTGCTTCAAAGGGAAACGACGAAGGAATTCGAGTTAATCAAGAGATGCCGAGTAATTTCCATCTACTAGACATGTAAAATATAAACCCCTCTAAAATTTAAAAACGACGATAGTAAATCGATACCGGACTTTTTTCCATTAATCGATACTAAAGACATCATATGTATAAATTAGTAAAAATCTTACCAAATTCAATATCGGACAGCTAAAACCCTGAAACTACAAAATATACTCTAGTGAAAGTTAGTTTTGCCTAGCAAATTTACTGAGAGAATTTGTAAATCAGCCTCTATAGAAACCAAGGAATATCCTGACCAGATTATTACTGTAAATTTGTGTAAAGAAATCCTCGAAGCGCAGCCTTGCAAACTATATGAGCCTCTGATCATCATATAACAGACATCTTTGGAGTATTTCTTGACTAAAATCCGCCAGAAATTTTACCAATAATGGTCATTAGAACTTTTATTTGATTTATAAATTTAGTTGATATATTACTTGATTAATTATGCTTAAAGAATGGTTCCAGTGTTTAAAGATATCACATGAAAGACGAAAGCCCAATTTAGAACGACCATGGTCGAGGAATTATTTAAACTTAAGAGTAACAACACTGTCTCCTTTTCCCGAAGAGGCCAATTTACTGATCCTTTTCAATCAAGTTCTATTCTATTTGTGAATTCCCTCCAGCCGGCCTTTTAAACGAAAGGGAATGTCCAATTAAATATACTAAATAGAGGATTTTCCGAAAGCCAGCTTTTCTTCACACATTCAAAGCCCATGTTAACTGCCCTCCATGTAACTTTGCACGTCTTATCCTGTAGCACTATCTTTAAGGCTGGTAAACGTTTAAATACATACAATATATTATTGTCAACTAATAGTTAAGATAGATTTCTGGGGCGTACGATATAGATTTCCTATACCTACGATCTTCATTATTTCAGCAGTAAAGCTGCATATATTGAAGAATTCTAAAATGGTTCAATAATAATCTTCATATTTTACAAAATCGAAAGCAAATGTCAGAACAAGCATATATATATGCATATATATAGGTTTTGAGGATAAAACGCATAAAATACGCAGAGAGAAATGAAGGTAAGAGAAGATAGCGCAAGATTCAAAATCTATAGTTACTTAAACAAAGTCATTTAAGAGAGCAAGATTAATTAGATGCATTCAAGGTAAAGGTCAGTTAAAGATACTTGGAGGTTTCTGTGGTATAAAACTTCAAAAAACTTCGAATTATGAAGGAAATTAAAGTCAGATCATGGCCGTAAAATAATGCATTAATATGAATAAAAATTAGCTGCAGAATTCGAAATACACTTAGGCTAAATCTAAAGTTCATATAAAATGTGGGGTAAATTAAAATATCGGAGCTCACATGAAACGCCCATTTCTGAGCTATCCGAATGTCTATGGCTCTGATCAAATCGACGAAGAAGATAATTAACAGCTATCCAGCCATACATGCCTTCATCAGCTCCAGATATAGTTTTGGCATTGTGTTCTGAGAATATGAAGTCGTATTTAGTGACTATAAAAAGCCTGACAACACTCCATATTTCAGACTGAACCCTGAGGCATAATTGAATACACAAATATTTCTTACTTTTCAGGCAGTAATCTCATGCCAGCAGTTGCCAAAATATAAATTGGAGTTTCTTTGTGTTTTTCTTGAGGAATATTTTTGACCGCAAGATCCAGAAGAGGTGACAAATATTTGGCGATCCCGGAAAGGTTATTTCCAAAGGATGAAAGTCCAGGTGTCATTTTTTTGACAACCGGAATTCCTTCTTTATCATTAAATAAGTATATGTTTAAGAGTTCGCGTTTATTTCCTGAAGGTTTAGGCCATGTGTAAACAAACATTCTGCTGCCACTACTACCTGAAAACATTTATGCATTTGAAGGTCAATACCCGCATCAATAATTACGCCATATTGGTTATCAAGATTATTATCGAATTCGCCGGGTTTTTGATATAAAGAATCTAAGCGACCAGGAGTTGTACTTGTAAAATACATAAATGTAAATCCAATGAGCATTATTAGAAAAATGCTGATTGTCATTCGATAAGTAAACCTCATTATCACTATGCTCGGCATAGAATCTGACATCATTCTAAGGGGAATAACTTAATCGGTTAAAGGTTGGAGGACAACTTTACCATAAGCAATGTCCAGCTTGTTGATGACATGACTACACCCGAGGACATTTCGTATTGGTGTACAAACTCTTTTTTTAGGTCGCAAAATATATATTAATTCACACAATATTTATATTTTAAT